ACCTTCTCTTTATTGTTTATGTCCTTGACTCAGCAGTAGAATGGACATGGCAATGCTAGGATTTTTCTCATTGGATTTTTTTGTGAGGACTAAATGACATGTGTAGTCTTAAGGCCTTTAGCTCAGTGCTTGCCACAATACACATGCTCAACACAAAGTACAATAAAGGCAATTGCAAACAGGAATGCCATCTACTCCATTAAAACTCTCAATTTTTAACTGACTCCCCGGAACAAAATGCACACCTTCACAAGTATCCATGGACCAGTCATGTAGTGCCAGATTCTAGAGTGGTCCTGCCTGCTTCAAGGATACAGACGTGTTACTCTCCTACTTAGATTCAAAAGACCTGCTTGCTTCACTTTAAAATCAGGGAGATTGACAAATCAGGGAGTATTGAAAGTAATCTATTCATGGTCACTCCCATCCCAGAATCTCCTATTGCATACACTTACCGACTTTTCTTTATGACTCTTGTTACTAGATAGAAATTCTTATTTACTGCTTTGTTTACCAAAGTATTGTCTATCTCTTCCCACTTGTATGTCAGCTCCAGAACAGCAGAGATTTTGTTTGTTGTTCTTGTCTACTGGGCCCCAGGATCTAGAGCAGTGCCTGGTGCATGGTGGGTGCTCAATAAATACTGCAGGAATATATTGAATAAGAGAAGGGTAACATCTTGGGTGATTCCAGGCAACCTGTAGGAGGATCTGGTTTCCAGGCAAGTCACACCAAATCTGAATACTTCACTTTCCCACTTGCCTCTGTCTAAACAGTATCTGTCCTCTCTCCTGATAATGTTACAGCTGTCTGTAAACATAAGAGCTATAGCTCTGAAGACATGAGATCTTGTCCTAACTCAGTTTTTTCCTGGCTTTGTAGCCTGTAATCAGGATTTTGACAATGACAACAACTTGTAAGTAAAATCACCCAATAAACTGGGCTTTCTTTGATATCATTGACTTAACCTCCCTTGTGTACATGAGTTACATTATGGAGTAAATGTTATTCCTTCAATTAAAAAAGCTATATTGGAAATGAATATTTGATTAGTGTTTAGACAAACATTTCTACAAACATATAATGACAATACTTTAGATGATATGCATATATCAACAAGTATATTATTCATTATGATTTCATGATGGGAAAATTCCCATTTATATCTTTTTTTTCAGAACTTTCTTCTATCAGAGAATGTCAATGTTATCTTTTCAACTGTTGTCTTAGCTTGGGCTGCTATAGCAAAATACCATAGTAGGAGTGGTTTAAACAACAGACATATCTCACAGTTCTGAAGAATAGAAAGTCCAAGATCATGGTGCTGTCTGATTTGGTTCCTGGTGAGGGCTCTCTTCGTGGCTTGCAGATGGCTCACCTTCTGGCTGTGAGCCATGCAATAAAGAGAGCAAACTTTGGCCTCTCTTCCTCTCCTTGTAAGAAAACTAATCTTATCATGTAGGCTTTACTCTCATGACCTTATCTAAATCCAAAAACCTCCCCAAAGCTCCATCTCCACATATAGTTATATTGGGGATTAGGGTTTCAACATAGGAATTTAGGGGAACACTGACATTCAGTTCCTAACCACTATGAAGTGTGTTCTTTACACTGTCAAAATAACTTGCACCTTTTGTGTAGTTTCCATGGATTTTCCAAAATTAGATTATGCTTTTCACTATTTATATACACAATAGTCCCTCAAGTACCCAGAGTAATTGGGGAATGAAGTTTATGATCAATATCATTCATGGTTAATTGGGGCAATGCTCTTATAAAGTGAAACCACTCTAGGATGAGGCTGTCCCCAGCAGAGTGAACTCTCCTCTTCTCCTTTATGAAGGCAACATGAGTGCTAACCAATCTGAATCTTCAGCTGTGGATGTTTAGACCTATAACACTTGACCAATTCCAAGCTGCTACCATCAGCTCTGGTGTCAGCTCACTTGGAAAGATGCTTATGATGAACAAAAGTGTACACTCTCTGGTGACTATTACAATGGAGTGCATAACATAAAAGCTTTTAAGGAGTTCAAAAAGCAACAGAGAACTAACTCTCTCTCTCTCTCTCTCTCTCTCTCTCTCTCTCTCTCTCTCTCTCTCTCTCTCGGGAAGGGCACCAAGAGTAGGAAGGCAGGCAGAGACCCTGCCTAGAAATGGTTCCAAGGAGGCCTCCAGGAAGCCAGGATCCATGAAAAGAGGGAGTTATAATATAATGGGAAAGCTGTCCACAGTGTAAGAGTACATATAGCAGGTTGTGCAAATAAGTAAATATACTAAAGATGATGGAAGGCAGGGCTCTCCGTAGTTGCAAAGGAAGCAATAAACATAGAAAGATAGAAAGAGGAAAACATAGAATAAACCCTGTGTTCTTGAACTGTTACTGGAGGTATGAGTGTAAACTCAAGTTTTTGGATACACATAAAAATAAGGGCTTGGATTCTAAACACTATGTTGTCCAACACAAAAGAATAAGAATCCTTGTATATATGGCTAATGAAATAGAGTTTTTAATTTCCAACATAACAAGGGACCACATGTTAAACATGACAAAGAGAAATTGTTCACATTCACAAAACATCCTATAGGAAGATGTACAATCAAACTTTTATGCATCTCATTAACAACACTGAAATAAAACAAACTAGAATCTATTAAAGACACAAGTAGTACTACATAAAACCACAATCATGAGAGACTTCCAAGTGCCTCTATTATGAACAGCATTCAGAATCATGATGATAAGAACACTAGGTATAGTGGATTGGGCGCTGATTCAGTTCTAGGTATTTTAATGGAACTTCATTTTTTAAGAATCATTTCAGGCAGTAGGCCGGGATTGGCCCAAGGGCTAGACTTTCCAAATCCCTGCTTAAGGTCATTGTCATATTTCCTTTTAAACACTGCATGCATCTCTAAATGAGCTGAGAATCATCTGATGTCAGCACACCTGTAACCCCTTCATAGGATGCCTACTGGAAGCTCTACAGCAGGACACTGGAGCTGCAGAAACTCATGGTGGCAGGTCCTTGTATTTTCAGGTCATTTCTTTCCAACCTACAAAATACACATTTCAGACAGAGCCCATTACTTCCTGCTCCCCGAGTCCTTGTGCTACCATGTCATCCATTTAAGGAGACAGGTATGATGCCCTGAAGTGGATGAGATGATAAAAAACCCTTTTTTCTAAATTGTGGCAAGGAGGCTGGAGTTGACATATCCCTGAGGCAAAATATTCACAGTGTACCACTGCTGGACCTGCCTTACGAAAGCAAACACATACTGGGGTTTGCTATTAAAAAAAAAGAATGAAGGAACTTTATTCACTCCCACAACTACAGTATCCCAGGTGATTATGTGATTCACTCACTCCAGTGAAGATGTTGCTGAAACAGAGCTGTGATTGAGTTACCATCTGATGGAGCTTCCCATAGTCCACTGTTACTCTCTAAGAACATTCTTCCACATCAACCAAACTGGGGGATTAAATGGAGATGTGGTAGAATCCATGGCCCATGTATCTCTCAAGTCCAACAATGGACTTTTCTGCATTCCTACAAGGTGTGGAGCTGTTTTTGAATAATGACTTTCACAGGGACATGGAGCTACCACAGGTCCCACTTGCCCCTTTTCATCATAGGAGCTACTGCTGCATGGGTCAGGAAGCCACAGGGGATATTAAAAGAATGTAAGTTTTAATTAAGGCTGTAACTCCAGCGTCTAGAACAGTGCCTGGCACATAAAAGGGGATCAGTGGGTATTTGTGGAGTGAACCAATGAGTGAAAGTCTAAACTCTACAGGATAGTCAATCCTCCTATGTTGCTATAAGGAGGGAAACAGGATGACTGGATCACTGGCTGCCTGGGGGCTTCCACTGCACCTGTAAAGCAAACTCAGGACCAAACTCTAGTTATTACAGGAATGGGAGTTATGGTGGAATTATGAATCCCAGGAGTGGGAGTGAGCTCACAGCCACTTTCCAGTGATGCCCCAAAATCTGAATATATCCCTCCCCCTAGGTCACAGTTACTTGGTTAAATGCTCTGTTAGGGGAAGGCCAGAAGTTTCATGGGTGTATTCCTGGGGTTTTAGTACCATCCTTCCCAGTGGGTAAGCAGCTTCCCTTTCCTTCGAGGGTTTCTGAGATTGCCCTCTTATTCATTCTGCAGATGGGCTGCACCTCTCCAACAAAGTGGATCAAGGAGGCTTATGTACAGCAGATTTGGGGTGTTTCTGTTTAAGAAAATCAACTGAGGTCATAATGGGTTGCCCAACATTTACTTGTAGGGAATGAGTGATGAATGAGCCACCGCAAAACATCAGTGGTAGTTTGATCATTCATTTATTGAACTGAATAAAATTTATTCTGCCCCTAGTATATGCTAGGCACTATTGTAAGTGTTCAGTGATGCATTAATGACAAAAATAAAACAAAAGACATCTTGCCATTGTGGAGATTGCATTCAAGCATGAGGAAGAAGGAAATAGTTAAACAATAAACATAACAAATTGTGCAGGTGATAGAAGATAAAAAATATCTATGGAAAAATTAAAACTAAACAGACAGCATAAGGGAGGTTTGAAACTGAAAGCAAACGGTAACTTTTAAATCATGCCCATTAACATGCTGGCCCTGCTGCCTCTTCAGTTACATGCTTTGCTTCCGCGGGTCACTTCAGGGCCACTCCAGGCCTCTGCCAGCACACAATTCACACCTGGTAATGGAAAACACGGGACTTAAATTAATTTGCAGTATCATTTCCAATAACTAATTCCCTTTGATAACAAGCCTGCTATATAGCATGCTTTGTAATTGATAGCACACTTCCCTCAAAAGTGTTCATAGTCCCAAGTAACCTAGCCAGTATCTTAATTGGATTTACCAGGTAAGTCATATTTAAGATATTGCTTAGGCTTACTAAGCTAAGTTTTTCAATTAAACAAGGCCCTTTACTGCCCATAGACAAACAGATGAAGAGGGAATGAAAATGTTTTGTTATTATGACCTTTGCACTGGGGTGATAGAAATTGCTCTCCAAATACAGAATGGCTGCATGCTCTCCACTATAACCACATTGACAATGTCGTATTTTTTAGGTATGTATCCAAAAGGAAGTTTCAGAGAATCCAACGTGAAAAAGATAGCACCATCTATTACCCCATTTCTTCCACGTAGACTGGTGATACACACCTATAAGCATAAATAATGATTATGCAATGAAGAAATGATTATGAGAAAGCATAATAAAATGTAACAAGCTCTGCACTTCCTCACCTGGCTCCAACCTGGTCATTACATCCAAATTATGAATCCCAACCTGGTGGACACATTGGCAACACCAGGGGTGCCTTGTAAAAATACCTATGCCCAGATGCCAACTCGGACTAATTAAGTCAGAATCTCTGAGGATAAAGTCAGGGTCCCTGATGAGTAACCTTGCTCTAAATATTACCCAAAAATGTCCATTACCTTCTATTTCACTTAATTTCCTACTTATTTTCACACTTGAATACCCAAATAATATCCAGTTTATACTGGCAGTTCAGGTCCTACAACATATTCTATTCAATTTTTCCCACAAATTTTCTTGCATACAAATTGTTTTTCTTCCCATTGTTCTCAGTACATTCTAATAACATTCTAACACTAAATCAACCACACAATTTAGAATTTGATTATATGCTTGTCCCACATTGTTTTCTAATAAGAAATTAGGCTCCTTTTTGGCAAAGAATATATTTGTTCATATTTTCTAGATTTCCTAGCACACTCAATAGAATCCTAGGCACAAAAACTATCACTAAAGGTATGTTTGGCAGAAGCTATTGACAAATCCTATTAATACATGCAAACAAATTACCTCATCCACGTGCTTACAATTCGCCAGCTTCACTGAGTGTACCTTGATGTTTGAGGTATCCGGCTGAATGGAATACTCAATTTCTAAGCAGTCACCCTCATAAGGCACAAAACCTAAAATACCCATGGAGAAATCTGAGTGCAATTATCTCTTAACTAGGTCATGTTAAACTTCACAAGTTACTTTGACATTTTAATACCTTCCAATACCTCCTGCTATTTTGAACATGTTTAAACAAACACATTAAAACATTTCTGTCAGAAAATAAGTTTATAATCCTTTAGGTATTGATCGTCCTCTACTGATTTAATAAAGTCAAAGGGGGAAAAGTGTCAACTGTGCAGCACAGCCAATCTAAGGAAGCAGCACAGGATTCGTTAAACAATTGGCCATATTCACAACTCCTTAGCGTGGCATTCAAGTACACACATAAGAGCACAAGTTTGAACCTGGCTGCCTGCATTTAAATCTTGACACTGCCATTTACTCAGTTTGCAACCTTGGTCAAGGTGTTTAACCTTTGTGACTTGGTTTCTTCATCTATAAAATGAGAAGCACAATAGGAGTTTTCATGATATAGAGTTGCTGTGAGAATTATACGATATGTGTAAAACTCATAGAATAATGACTGGCACATAGTAACCACCACATAAGCGTTGACTGGTATTAGTGATAGCAGTAGCACTAGGAAATATTGCTCCTGTAGGAATAAATGACTTCCCCCAGGTGTTGTGGTCAGCTGATGGACTCTTAAGTAGACACTTTACATTTTACAGTTGTAAACACAGAGTTTCAAACAGAATTAGACAATAAGCAATAAGTGAGTCACAGAGTAACAAAGCTACCTGAATGGACCTGGAGCAACTGGAAATCTCAAACACTCCAAGTGGGAATGTAAATTGGCATAACCACACCAGAAAACTGGCAGTATCAACACAGTGAAACATTTCTATGCCCTAGGACCCAGCATTGTAGAATGACACAAGACACAATGCTAGACCTCTTCTCTCTCTGTGTTAATTTACACGCATTTCTTTGGCATGGGTTTACAGCATATCTTGGACTGATAAATCCCAAATGTATATACCTCTAGCTCTAACCAACCTCAGATTCAATTATCCACATGCCTGCATCAATATGAGATATCCAAAGCTGAGAAATTGTTCTTTCCTTATTCACCAAATTATGCTTATCTGAGCCGTCTATATCTGAAATTGGCAACACCACCCTTAGTATTGCTGCTCAAACCAAAAATGTTGGAGTTACCTTTCATTCATCTTTCCTTCACACCAAAGCTCCAATCTGTCAGCCACTACTTTCATCTCTAACTTAAAAATACATCAAGGGTCAAATCAATCCTTAGATCCTCTACTTCTAAAACTTCATACAAATCTCCATCATCTCTCACCAGGAATATTACAATGTTGCCTGAACCGAGTTCCTGACTCTGCCCTAGCCCCATATAGTCTCTTCAAAGCAGACAGAGTGAACCTCCTAAAACAAAATTCAGGTCCGAGTCCTGGTTTTACACTCAAGAAAATAAAAAAGCAAGCTGCCCAGCGGGGTTGAGCTAATCATTCCTTTTATACCCAAGCTGCATGACAGCTGCAATGGACCCAAATAGCAAAAGCAAAGTTTATCTTTGGGTGTAAACTATATAATATAACATATCTGCTGATTACAAATAGAATTCAACAACAGATACACATAAACATGCACACATACACACAGAGAAAGGTACAAGGTTACCTCCCATCCTAATGTTGAAGCATTTGTAGTATATTAAAAATAGTTTCCCTGTATACTTCAGGATTTTTCACTGATTAGAAATTAAATACTTATATGCATGAAAAATACATTCGTACATTACTGAATAAATTCAACAAGTGAACTCACAATAAATGATAGCAGACATTTTTATAAATATTACCTGTCTGTCCCTATATTGCACAGCATTTTCAATTCCAAAGGTCCAACTATAATATTGAAGAACCATTAACTGGAGCCAAGTACATTGTATTATAGAAGTAGTTGTAGTACCGATATCCTCTAAAAAATTAAGAATTACATTTTTCTAAGAGTGTAAATCATACCTTCAGAAACAATGTCCACAGAGAAATAAATGTTTTAATTAATGTAAATAATATTTTTCTTTATAGAAGTAACATAACCAACTACAACTCTAGTCCCTGGGTCTGATGATACAGCTCCACCAAAATGATCAGGCATAGCATCCACCTGTAAGATGAAGAAACTGTTACTTAAAAAATAACACAAATTTTAAAATGGAAATGTTTGTGATTAAATCATTGATGTTCAAAAAATATTTTAAACGACCTGTTTGAACACTGAGAATATATGTCACATGCCAAATGGATCATAGACATGAGATGATGGTGAAAATCATGCCTGTGTTTCCTGTATTGTTAAAATATATTTTAAAACATTAATTGCACACCAAAGTTTAATGCATACCAGTATTAGATTCAAAGAGAAAAAATACTGTTCTTGTCCTCTAGTAATTCCCAATTAAATGAGAATAAATTAAAAACATATCTGCTCATAAGCAAGTTGTGGTAAAGGATATATAACACATTCAGAAATGGTTTTTGTGAATTCACAGGAGGGAGAAAATTTCAGACTAACAGAAAATAAGAGCATTACCTGAAATAAGTCAGATTTGAGCTGGGTTGTGAAAGAAGAGAAAGATGTAACCAGGCAAAGGATAGGGGGTGAGATCAGGAAGACAGGAAAAAGAGAAGTTGGGGGAATAAAGAGCAAAATCATAACATTCACAATACAGGCCTGAAGGTAGAAACATAAGATAATGTTTAAAAAAACAGCCTCAATCGAGGTACAGTTTCTGAAAATACCAAGTCCAATTTAGGGCTTTAATTTATCTACAATAGAGAGGAATACAAACCTTTTTGCTCTTTGGAAGTGTGATAGTCACTATATTATAATTTTTGAAAATAACACAAATAATACATGCTCATTATAGTAAAAGTACAAAAAAACAGTTAAGCACAAAGCAAAAAGCAAACACCCATAATTCACATTCCATTGCCCTTGACTACATTTCGGTATTAACCCTGATCCCAAGTTTTTTGCTATGCCCAAATATATATGCCCTATTTTAAATGCAGATTAACATTATATTTACTATTAAAGTATCATATAATGAACACACTTTTAAAAAATGAGAAATCACTGAAAAAGTATTACTAATATGGAATCCCAATTAATGAATATACCACAATTTATTGACCCAAATCCACATTATTAGAAATGTAACTGTTATTCTAACACATTGCCTACTTGCCTGATTTACCTATAGAATAAACTCCTAGGAGTGGAATTTGTTCTTTAAATATTTCTGATGGAAACTTGAGCCATTGAGTTGTGTATCATTTTCCATGGTTTTTTAAATAGCTAAGTTCACTGCTACTCCCACTTCTGAACTGCTGTCTTTGCAGCTGTCAATACCAATATCACGTTTATTTCCTCTTCATTAACTGTCATACAGGAACAAAGGAAGACCAATCTCCCGTCCATGTATCTACCACCACTTGAGAGTCAGTACCCAAATGACGATCCATAGCATGCCCTGACCTCTCTGTTCCTTGATTCCACACTAGTCCACAGACATAGTGCAGGCTAAACCTTTGCCCATGATACCTGTCAAACTCCCACTCTCCCGGTGCGGTTTCTTTTCCTGTACGAACAACACCAACCCAACAGGGAGTGCAGGCAGATTCAAATATTTCTATGAGAGACATGGCATTTCCATACAATAGAGGTAAAGTGGATTATCAATTAATGGTAAGAGACACCTGGGTAGCCGTGAATGAAATAAGATAAGGATCCTTCTTTCAGTCTGCACACCTACATCAAACCCAGGCTGCCTGAATGTTTAGATGTAAATAAACCAATAGCTTTCAGAAGAAAAGCTAAGTGAATGTTTGTATAAACTATAAATTGGAGCTACCCTCTCTAAGGATTCTCCCTGAACACAAAAGCTACACAGACAAGATGGAAATATTTATAGTATATAAATATTAAACAGATGGAGAAGGGGCAGAGCAAGATGTTGGAACAGGACTCTCCCATGACTGTCCCCCAGCAGAAACATCAATTTGAATAACTACATGCATGAAAGTACCTTCCCTTGAACAAAAGATACCAGGTTAGAGTTCACAGTATCTGGTTATAGCATAACAATAAGAAAAGATGCACTGAAGAGGGTAGAAAGGACAGTTTTCCATTACCCACATCACTCCTCCCCAACCCCCAGCAGCACAGCATGGAGAGAGATACCATACACTAGGAGAAAAGACAGAGAAGTAAGTATAAATCGTTGCCTGGGAACACAATATCAGGTCTGGCATGCTAAAAAGCAGCACTGTACAAACGCCCCTAACTCCTAACTCCAAGAGGGTGCCTGTCGACTGAGTCACTAGACTCCCCATGGCACCAGCCAGGAATCTTCAGACACAGCTAAACGGACTCAAGGTCCTTCATCTCTGCCTGGCAGCTATAGCGGCACTATGTTCAGAATAATCCACATTACCAGGCAGTACTCACTGATGGGGACTTGGATTCCAGCCTGGCAAGGTATCAGCCTCAGCAACTATGTGATTCCAGTTTGGTGCAGCATTTGTTGCTGCAGTCCTGAGCTTACAGCGCCCCCTAGTGCTGTAATGGCTATAGTGTTCACAGGCTTAAGGACCACAATATAGGACCTTCTACTACAGATTTCTTGACAGGCTTATTCCTGAAGGATGTCCCCAGTAAAGCCAGACTGCGAAAACTGAAATAAACATCTACTTCTTCAATACACATACATCAAGACATGACCACAAGGATCAAGAACAATCAGGAAAACATAACAGCTCCAAACCAAAGAAACAAGATAACAATGACCCTAAAGGGAAAGAAATGTATGAATTCTCTGACAAATAATTCAAAATATCTGTTTTAAGGATGCTTTGAAAACTTCAAGAAAATACAGAAACAAGATTTAAAAATTTAGCATAAAGATGGAAATAATAAAAGAATAGCAAACAGAAATCCTGTAGTAGAAATACACAACAAACGGAATGAAAAGTACAACAGAGCGTCTCACCAGCAGAATTGATCAAGCAGAAGAAAGAATCTGTGCACTTGAACACAGTGTATTTGAAAATACACAGTGAAAAAAAAGAATGAAAAGGAATGAAGAAAGTTTATGCAATATATGCGACAATATCAGAAAGGCCATTGCATGAGTTATTCTCGTTCAATACAGAGTAGAAAATGATAAATGGATACAAAGGTTATTTAAAAAATAATATCAGAAAACTTTGCAAATCTGGAGCAAGATATAACTATTTAAGTACAGGAAGGCGTAAGGTCTCCATTCAGATTCAGTGCAAATAAGCCTACTCTAGCATATTCTAATCAAATTGTGAAAGATCAAAGAGAAAGAAAGGATCCTGAAAACAGTAAGAGAAAAGAAGTAAATCACATATAAGGCAGTTTCGATATGTCTAGCAGCAGACTCCTCAGCAGAAATCTTATAGGCCAGGAGAGAATGAGACAATAACATGCCAGGAAACAGTGGGATGATGTATTCAACGTGCTGGAGGAAAAAAACCCTGCCAAACAAGAATAATGTACTCAGAAATGAAAGGGAGACAAAGACTTTCCCAGACAAACTACGCCTGAGAAAGTTATTCACAACCAGAACTGTCATAGAAGAAACACTAAGGACAATTCTTCAAGCAGAAAGAAAAGGACACTAATGAGTAACACAAAAACATCTGAAAGTATACAACTCACTAATAAAAGTAAGTACACAAATTCTGAATACTTGAACAATGTAATGGTGGTATCTAAATCACTTATATCTTTAGCATGATGATTGGAAGAGAAAACCCGTAAAAATAAAATAACTATAATAATTTGTTAAGGTATATCCAATATAAAAAGTTGTAAGTATAAAAATTCAAAATGGGGATGAAGTTAAAGGGTAGAGTGTTTTTATTCTGTAATAAAAGTTAAATTGTTTTGAGCTTAAAATAACCTGTTATAACTATATCTTTGTAAGCTTCATGCTTACCATGAAGGGAAAAAACCTATAATAGATATATTGAATATAATAAGAAATCAAAACATAGTATTAGACAAAATTTGTTAACTATAATGAAAGATAGTAAGAGAGGAAGAAAGCAAAGGAAGATCTACAAAAGAAGTAAAAAACAATTAACAAAATGACAACAGTAAATCCTTACCTGTCACTAAATACTTTGAATATAAAAGAATTCAATTCTCCAATTAAAATACATAGAATGGTTGAATAGATAAGAAAACAAGACCTAACTTTAAGGTGTCTATAAGAGACACACTTCACCTTAAAGGACACTCATAGACTACAAGTGAAGGGATGAAAAGAGATATTCCATGTAAATGAATACGAAAAGAGAACAGGAATACCTATTTTCTATAAAATAAAATAGACTTTAAATCAAGAATTGTAAAAAGAGAACAAAGAGCTTATTATATAATAATGAAGGGGTCAATTCATAGTAAGACTATAATAATTTAAATATATATGCAATCAACATAAGAGCACCTAAATATATAAAGCAAATACTAATAGATCTAAAGGGAGAAATAGAAAGCAATATAATATAGTAGGGTACTTAGATACCCCCTTTGCAGAAATGGAGAGATCATCCAGAAAGAAGATCAACAAAGAAATTTCAACTTTAAAGTGTACTCTAGATCACATGGACCTAACAGACATTTACAGAACATTCTATATGACAACTGCAGAAGACATATATCTCTCAAGTGCATATCAGACATTCCCCAGGAGAGATCATATGATAGGCTACACAATAAGTCTTAACAAATTTAAAAAGATTGAAATCATACCAACTATGGCTTCTGACGACAATGGTATAACACTAGAAGTCAAAACCAGAAGGAACTTTCCAAATACATGGAAATTAAATAACATCCTCCTAAATAACCAATGTATCAATAAAGCAATTCAAAGGGAAATTTAAAAATTTATTAAGACAAACAAATATAGAAATACAACATACCAAAACCTTTGAGATACCTCAAAAGCAGTTCTAAAAGTGAAGTTTATACCAATGAACACTTATATCAAAAAGAATCACTTAAACAACTTAACGGTACATTTCAATTACCTAGAAAAACAAGAAAAATTTAACTCAAAATTAGGAGAAGGAAGGAAATAATAAAAATTAGAGCAGAAACAAATGAAATAGAGATGAGAAAATGATATATAAGATAGAAAAAAATAGTTGTTTTTTTGGAAAGAAACAAAATAGACAAACCTTTAGTTATACTAAGAAAAAAGAGAGAAGACTCAAATAAATAAAACAGAAGATAATAAAGGAGACATTAAAACTGATATCACAGAAATAAAAAGGATCATAACAGACTATGATGAACAAATATAAGCCAACAAAATGGATAACTAGAAGAAATGGATGCATTCGTGGATACATACAACCTACTCACATTGTAATAGCTGTAATGTCCCTATTGTAGAAATAGCTTACAGTAAACAAAATTGTTGTAATCTCATTAAAACTTAAAGAAGTTCCAAATAAAATCATGAGGCTGCTTTACAATTCTCATAGTTGCAAAGATTTCAGAGCAATAATATTTCTACAATTGACAATATGGGCAAACAAGCAGTCTCACAGCCTACTGTTGAAAAAATCAAGTAGTACAATATAGCTAAAGGATAATTTGATAATAGCTATTGAAATGGTAAATATTTGGACTGAAGTGATGCTTACAGGACTCTGTAAATCTACAAAAAGTTAATGAATTATACTCTTAAGAGAATTTTCTAGCATGTAAATTATACCTCAATAAAGCTATTTTTTAAATGTTTAAAATGAAAAAGTCCAGACTTCACCAGTATACAATATACACATGTAACAGAATTCAAATTGTACCCTCTAAATTATTAAAATTTTTAAAAAGAAATAAAGAAGAAAATATAAATAAATAAAATGTTTTAAATGCACATCATTTGATATAGCAATTCTACTGCTGTGAATGCATACTAAAGAAAATGTTTCTTTTTTTTTACCTGAAGAAAGGAAGTATAGGATTATATGGAGTCTAATAATTATCATTTTAAACCATATTTTATAAATACTAGAAGAAGAGATGATTTTTATGTTTTAAAACAGAAATCAATACATATATTAGGGCAGAAGAACCTATAGCTTCAGGGGAGTGGGACTTCAAATTCCAGTTTACATCTACCCTACCGGTTACGCAAGAGAAAGGAAAGATTGAAAGCCCACTAGGATAAGATACAATCCCCAAACTCATGCAAATCTTACTCTGATTGCTTTCAATCCACGAGATGTTTTATTAGCTTCAACAACTGCAGTAACTTTTTGTCCAACTATTAGAGGCACATTGCCAGTCACAACATCACTACTGAAGTAGATCGACTCATCAATCAAGCCGTAATCGCAAAAGAAACTTGTCACAACTCCTTGCACAGTTTTCAACTCGATGTCATCTATGAGATAGGTAAACAGAGGTCACATTAGTTAATCTCAAATGCAAACATTGATTACAAATAAGTCCTACACTGACTATCTGTGTGGGCATATTTATTAACTTCTCTATTTATTAACTTTTAACTATTTATTAACTTCTTCTATTAACTTCACCTGTCAATCAAGGACAATTACAATTTCTGCTTAATAAGGTTGTTGTGAATATTAACAGACACATAAATGTCAAGTGTCCAGAGCCGTGAGTGCATTGCACAAGTTAGCTGCTATCATAGTATCTACATATAGTCTTTAAGCTTCCACTAGTATTATACCCCTTCATCATTAACACCAACGTAACAGCGGCAGGTTCTACAGATTTTTTTTTTTTTTTGAGATAAGGTCTCGCTCTGTTGCCTGGGCTAGAAGTCAGTGAGGTCATCATACCTCACTGAATCCTCAAACTCCTGGTCTCAAGCGACCCTCCTGCCTCAGCCTCCCAAGTAGCAGGGACTACAGGCTCACACCTCCACACCCTGACAATTTTTTTCTTTTTCTTTTGTAGAGACAGGGCCTCCCTGTGATGATCAAGCTGATCTCAAACTCCTGGGCTGCAGCGATCCTCTCGCCTCAGCCTCTCAAAGTGCTAGGATTCCAGGTGTGAGCCACTGCGCCCCCGTAAGATTCTTAACATTTCATCAGAAAAAGCACAAAAATATATTCGGAGATTTAAAATTACCCTGAAACTGCATCCAATTTTTTCTTTCCTTTTCTTTTAGTTCTGCAAAAACTTATCTGCGAAGTCATATTTTGAGTTCGACCCTGGCAGTCTCCCTGCACAACGAGTTCCCTGTCCTCCTATGGGACCAGACATAAGAATCTTCCCCTTGGCTTCAAATACATGCCCATTTGGGATACAAGAACAAATTGTCTCCCAAATTGGGAGGCTCACGCCCACTGGAAATATATATAAGTAGGCACCTGCTGCACCACCTTGTGGGGAAACGCAGAGGCAGTACATCCCCCAGAGCCTTGTCTGTCAACACCTCCCTGCTCTGGACCTACATGAGAGTTTGGGGCTCAGGTCGCTGCAGGCCTAGCTCTCAGGGACTGGGGACTCGGGATGCTCCCCCATGCACACACACAGATGGAGCCACCCCGCATGCAGCGCTTGCCTGAGAGCCCACAGCCTCAGGTGAGGGGTGAGGAGAGCCCCTAGGGTGACGCAGCTTGCTTGGGGGACAAGGGAACACACAGAGAGTACCTTGTGGGAGCCCCTGCTGCTGCATGCACTCTTCCTCGGCGGGGTCCGCCCTCTTCCAGAAGAAGGCCAAAACCGGGCTCAGAAGCCTGAACATCGTCCAGTCAGCACCAGCAGTCTGGGCACCTCGTGTGTCAGACGAAGCACCAGGCCTCCTCTGTCGGGAGCTCTAAGGTCACAGTGGCACCCCCAGGAACCCGCCTCCTGCTTCTCTTCCTCAGACTCTGTGAGATAGGACCCAGCCGCTAGTGAGCTGCCCTCAGGAGAGCCAGGGATGCTACAGCCACCCTAGGAGCTCCCAGCGTGCCCCTCACTCCCGCACCTGAGGCTGTGCTTGCCCAGGGCCCGCCCCCACCTCCATCCAGCCAATGAGGGTGCAGTGGGCAGAGACGTGGGCCCCTGTGGCCACTCAGAGGCAGCGGGCCAGGACATCGTGGCTCCCATCAATGCTGAGGGCACCATTAGGATGGCCTCGGTAGAATGGCTTGTGGGCTGGGGTTCAGTGTGTGCTTTGGGGCACAGGGGGTCTTCTGTGGGATTCCCTGGGAGGACTGGGTTCCTGAAACCCAGGCTGTGCAAACAAAAAATCCAGCACTATCCCTTCTATTCCTGGTGCTTAGTATAAAAACTAGTCACACAGAAGGTCAGTAGTTACTCCACCCAGGGATCAATTTTGTATATGAAGAGGACGGAGGTTCCTGTGGGTATGTAATGTTTTAGTGATGGCAGATGCCTGTCTTTTGTATTGACTCCCTTTTTGAGCCCAGTGGTAATTTACGATATAATTCTTTGATAATCATTGCTACCACTTACTCATTGCCTACCTAGTTTTACCAGTTACTCTACTGTATATATTACACGAATATATTATATATAATATATATATTATATATATGTATATATACGAATATATTATTCATTCATTTAATAAATATTTTTAATACTAACTATGAGCTGGACACTGTTCTGGGCACTCATAATTAGTCAGTGAATGAAAGAGTCAACCATATTGATCCTGTAGAGGTAATTTTTCACAGGAGGAGGAAAAGGGAGACAATAAACATAACAAATAATAAAACACATATAATAATATACTGAAAAGTAATAAATGCTATGGAAAAGCATAGCAGGGAAAGAGAATGGATTGCATTTTGGAATAGGGTGGTCAGTGTGGCCTCATTGGAAAGCAATAGTTGAGCAAAGTCTTGAGGGAGATGTTGCAGTTCGCCAGGCAGATCTTTGGGGAGGAGCTCTCCAGACACAGAGAACAGCCTGTGCAAAAATTGTGAGGCAAGACTGCAGCTGATGTGCTTAAAGAAAAGCTAAGTGATTGGAGCAGAGGGACAGAGAGCTAGAATAGTAAGAAATGTGGTCAGGGAGATAATACAAATTCAGGATGTGTGGAGTCTTGTAGGGCACTGTTAAGTTCTTTGGCTTTTACTGTTCATGATGTGTGAAGTCCCTGAAGGGTTTGGAGCCTTCATGGAATCCTTCCAGCTGCTTGGCTGTGCACAGGCTGTAGGGGCCAAAGCATGAAGCAGGGAGACCAGTTAGGAGGGAACTGCTGTAATCCATGGGGACTGTGGATGATGTCTATATGTCCTCCCTCTCCTGCAGACAGAACAGGCAAGGGAGTTACAAAAGATAAACATCTGGTTGAGGATATGGGCAGGGAGGGCCTCAAGAACCAGGTAGGAGTGGTGCTGGGGCATCAAGGGGAGATCTACAAGGAGAGGGTCAGGAGTTCCCAGTGCAGTGGGCTGAACATGTTCACTGGACTTAGGGAATCATCAGGCATTCTGGGAATAGATTGGGGCAGCAGTAGCTCATGAAGGCAGCATAGAGATTGTGGCCTGTCCTTTCAGCAAGTGTCAGCATGAAAATCTTGAGATGGAGGAAGGATGCTGAAGGCCAGGATCTTCTTTGTGGTGTTAGTAATAGCTAAAATTTATAGAGCATATACTCTGTCCTGGGCATTGTTCTGAGTCCATTATGTATGGCAACTAATTCAATCCTCAAAGCTATACAAGACAGGTATTATTATTGCCATTTATTAGATGAGGAACCTAAAAGAAAAAGCAGTTGGAGGACTTGCCTGAGGGCCCCAGGCCATTGAAAAATGGGAGTTGGGTCCAAGCAGCTTGGTTCTGTGATTGGTTCCCATAAGCACAGTGTCACACTGAGCAACCTGAGCCTGGTTACCTGTTGGATGAAGGAAACATGCTCATATTCCTTCCTCCTTTCATTCAAGAAATGCTCCCCAGCAAGCAATAAACACCCCAGAGAGAGGTGATGGTTGATTGATCATTTTTAAGTTAGTGTGTGTGTGTGTGTGTGTGTGTGTGTGTGTGTGTGTGTGGGCACGCAGTGGCCAGCTTCTTTTCCTGTCCTTGTGCTCCATGTAAGCTGTGATTCTTTCTTTGACTTTCTCTCCAAATTTGGAGCAGCGGTTTGCCCTGTGACATCAATTCTCTAAAGAATCTGAAAAAGTTGTTGATTTTCAGTTTGTTCATCATTTTTCTTGTCATGAAGATGAAAGTGACGACTTCCAAGCTGCTGACATGTTGAAACAGAAACTTGGTGTTTTGTTTATGTAGATGCATGTTCTGCTTTTTAGAAGATATATGCTGAAAATTCTTTGGTTAAAGTGTTATGGAAGTTTGAATATGTCTTTGAAAAGGTTCATCACAATGTTCATCACAATATGTGATATCATTGAATCTAGATGGTGGATATTTGGGTTTTCATCGTACTATTCTTTCTGTTTTGCCACACATTTAAAAGTTTACTTGATATCAGTTTGAATGTTAAAAATTGAAAGTAAAACAAGAATCGAAGCAGGTGAAGAAACATGGAAATAACTTTTTCTCTGAGGGAAAATATTATCCTGGTGAGTTTTGATATCTTTACCTGTAAGGTAGAAGAAACCAGAGCCATACAACATGGGGTCTCTAACCCCTCCAGCAATAAGGTAGCGCCCCACGTTATTAACGCATAATGATTTATGAGAACAGGAAATGGACTTAATATTGGGTGGAGTTATAGCTTGGTTTCAAATATCCCAGGTAGTGTAATAGACATGAAGTTTTGCACTTGGTTTTTTTGGACCCCGTCTAGTAATTTTGGACACCAGGCATTTGGAATGAGCAAATGAAAATCCTCTCTGGAGTAAGGTACTTTGGTTCTAGGGTTCAAATTATTTTTAAAAATATATTTTTAAATACTATCGACAGCAGAAGTAATATTCTGAATTTAAAAAGTTAAAAAAAGAAGTACAATGATATCTATTCAGAGAAGTAAACAAGACTCCATCATTGCAAACTAGCAGAAACAGTATGCCACAGAAACAAATCGCCTAAGAATTCAAATATTAGAATTACCAAAGACAATAACACAATTATTCTTACTGTGTGATGGTTAATTTTATGTGTCATCTTGACTGAGCTAAGGAATGGCCTGAGAACTGTTAAACATTAATTCTGCGTATGTCTATGAAGGTGATTCCAGAAGAGATTAGCATTTGAATCGGTAGACTGAGTAAAGAAAATGATCTTCACCAGTATGGGTGGATATCATCCAATTCATTGAGGGCCCAAATAAAACAAAAAGGGAGAGGAAGAGTGAATTCACTCTCTCTTCTTTAGCTGAGACATCTATCTTCTGCCTTCAAGCATCAAAGCACCAGGTTCTCAGGCCTTTCTACTCTGGTACTTATACCAGCAGCCCAGCTGGTCTCAGGCCTTGGACTTTGACTAGAAGTTACACTATTGGCTCCCCTGGTTCTCAGGCCTTTGCACTTAGACTGAATTACATCACAGGATTTCCTAGTTCTCTAGCTTGCAGGCAACAGATTCTGGGAATTATTGCCCTCCATATTTCTGTGAGCCAATTCCCATAATAAATCTTACACACACACACGCACACACGCATCTCCATAGCCTATTCGTTTGGTTTCTCTAGAGAACACTGACTAATACAGAATTTGGTACCTAGGGTGGTTTTGGAGGAACAGAATTTATGGATAAGTTTTCTGCAATTGGGTTTCTGGAATTGGCTCTCTAATCTGATTAGATTTAAAGATGCTAATGACTCTATTTTTGGTAGTAAAGAAAGCACTGATAATCCATGGAGTGAACTAATGATAGAGATACACAAAATACTTGCATTGGATACTCCTAATCAACCACTTATAAGAAGTAAGGAGGTAAATGACTTTGTAAATAATTTCAAACATTTTTGGAAAACTCATGAAAATGATGACATTGCTTGGTTGTTCCTAATGTCACTAGACAAAGTGATGAAAGAAAAGAATGAGCTCAGGGATTTGAATTCTTAGCAATAGACTTTCACTGTTCTACCTCAGTGGTATATTGATTTTCCAGCCCTATGTCATAATTTAGTTCATAGGGATTTTGATCTCTTTCCCCTTCCACAAGATATCACACTGGTTCATCACACCGGTGACATTATTCTCATAGGACCTAGTGATCAAGAAGAAGTAGCAACTAATCTAGACACATTGGTAAGATATTTGCATGTAAGAGGGTGGGAAATAAATGCAACAAAAAATCAGAGGCCTTCTCCTCAGTGAAATTTCTAAGTGTCCAGTGGTGTAGGGCATGTCTAGATACTTACTCCTTCTAAGGTGAAGGATAAATTGTTGCATCTAGCCCCTCCTACAACCAAAAAAAGAGTTGTAATGCCTAATGGTTTCTGGATTTGGGAGAGAACATATTCCTCATTTGGGTCTGTTACTCCTGCCCCTTTACTGAGGAATGGTAAATTCTCTCTGTTTTTTGAGGTGGGCTATCCATCTTCTGCCCTCTGACATAAAAACTCCTGGTTCTTAGGCCTCTCCAGACTCCAGGGTCTATTCCAGTGATCCCTGCCCCCCAGTTCTCAGGCCTTTGGACTGTGACTTATACCATCAGCTCCCCTACTTCTCAGGCCTTTGGACTTGGACTGAATTACACTCCTGGCTTTTCTGGTTCTCCAACTTTCAGATGGAAGATTGTGGGACTTCTAGGCCTCCATAATAGAGTGAGCCAATTCCCATCATATGATTTCTATGGGCCCTCTGGGAAATCTCAAAGAGAG